CAGATCTACCATTTTTTATCTTTTATACTGTATTTTTACTGTACCTTTTCCATGTTTAGACACACAAATACTTACCATTGTGTTACAATTGCCTACAGTGTTCAGTACAGTAACATGCTGTACAGGTTTGTAGCGTAAGGCCAATAGGCTATACCATAGAGCCTTGGTGTGTAGTAGGCTAGACCATCTAGGTTTGTGTAAGTACACTCTATGATGTTCGCATAATGATGAAATCACCTAGTGATGTGTTTCTCAGAACATAGCCCCGTTGTTAAGTGATGCATGACTATAAATGTTCCCAGCTCTAGAGCCGGACTCGCAGGTTTGAATCCAGCCTCTTGACTCTGGCACTTGTCTGTTGTGTGACCTTGAGGAACCCACTTCATCTTTCTGATCTTGGATTTCCCCAGCAATATCATAATAGTTCCCACTGTCTCAGGTTGTGAGAATTAAAGACAAAATGCTCATAAAGCAAACTCTGGAATCCTGGCACCAGTAAGTACTCCAGTGTGTTTTATTTTTATGGATCCTCATAGAGGCCAAAATAAGCACCATCATCACCTTGTCACTGTCAGTGAACTGAGGCTCAGGGAGCTCTACTGAGTCACCAGATTCCCGGGTGGAAAACCCACAGTAAGACCTCAGTGCCACGCAGCCCGCGTCACCCTGCAGGTGGGTGAGTGGGTTTTGAGAAGCCCCATGTTTCTCAAATGCACCTGGGGCAGAGGAGCCTGACGGGTGTTGGGGGCAGCAAGGTGTGCCTGGCCCAGGAATGTCACTGCAGGCACAGGCTGGAGTCATCCAGGCCTAGGGAGGCCATGGGTGCAGCTGCTGCACAGCAAATGGACGCTTGAGCTCTTGACCTCCTCCAATACCTCAGGGGCAGAGCACACCTTATACCCATTTTACATAGGAGGAAACTGAGACCCAGAGAGAGAGGCAGACCATTTGCCTGTGAATCCTGGCGATATCTGGGGATCCAGGATTCAGACCCATGGTTTGGGGGAGTCTGATCATTGCCCTATCTCCCTCCTTGCCAGGCTTTGGAACTCAAAATACAACCTGTCAGGGCCGGCCCCATGGCATAGCGGTTAAGTACATGCGCTCCGCTGCTGGCAGCCTGGGTTCGGGTCCCGGGCATGCACTGACGCACCGCTTGTCAGGGTATGCTGTGGCAGCGTCCCATATAAAGTAGAGAAAGATGGGCACGGATGTTAGCCCAGGTCCAGTCTTCCTCAGCAAAAAGAGGGGAGGATTGGCATGGATGTTAGCTCAGAGCTGATCTTCCTCACAAAAAAAAAAAAAAAAAAAAGACCTGTCCATTCTGATGCCACCCAGCCCCCCCAAAAGCCCTGCTCCAACCCACCAACCCCCATGACGATAGACCAGGAAACACTACAAAGAAAGGCTTTATTGTATTATTAAATGTCTAGAATTTAGAAAATGATGGAGAATATGTAGTAATGAAGATTAAAATTAAAAGTGTATGGTGTATGTGTCCATTACATTGTTCATAGCATTAAAAAACTGAAAAAAAATTAGAACACATTCTTCCAGTATTAAAAACAATTATTCCAGGGCCGGCCCCGTGGCTTGGCGGTTGGGTGCGTGCGCTCCGCTGCTGGTGGCCCGGGTTCGGATCCCGGGCGCGCACCGACGCACCGCTTCTCCGGCCATGCTGGGGCCGCGTCCCGCATGCAGCAGCTGGAGGGATGTGCAACTACGACATGTAACTATCTGCTGGGGCTTTGGGGGGAAAATAAATAAATAAATAAAATCTTAAGAAAAAAAACCACAATTATTCCATAAAGCAAAAAAGTCACAAAATGAGTGAAATTCCAACACACATCTTTGTTGTTTCACTGTCCTTTTGTTAAAGAAAAGGAAAATAGCCAAAATTCATAGAATAGGCAGAAGATACACACATTTTACCAAAGATATAGAGTAGCAAATACACATCTGAAAAAATGTTCATCAGAAATCCTTAGGGAAATGCAATTAAAACAACAGTGAGGGCCCTGCCCCATGGCGTGGTGGTTAAGTGTGTGCGCTCCGCTGCTAGCGGCCCGGGTTTAGATCCCGGGCATGCACCAATGCACCACTTGTCAGGCCATGCTGTAGTGGTGTCCCATATAAAGTAGAGGAAGATGGGCACAGATGTTAGCCCAGGGCCAGTCTCCCTCAGCAAAAAAAAACCAAAAAAAAAACAGAAAAAAGGATTGGCATGGATGTTAGCTCAGGGCTGATCTTCCTCATAAAAAAAACAAACAAAAAAAAGTGACATAGCACAACAAATTTATTAAAAGGGTTAAAATTAAGAATAACTGGGGCCAGCCCTGTGGCCTAGTGGTTAAGTTTGGTGTGCTCCACTTCAGCAACCCAGGTTCAGATCCTGGGTGCAGACCTACACCACTCATCAGTGGCCATGCTGTAGTGGTGACCCACATACAAAATAGAGGAAGACTGGCTCAGATGTAAGCTCAGGCAAATCTTCCTCCCTGCCCCCCTCCCCAAAAAAAGGAAAAAGAACAATTGACCAAGCCAAGTATTAACTAGGATGTGGAGGAAATGGAACCTTCATACACTGCAGGGAAGAATGCAAAAAGGTATATTTAGATCACAATTTGCTAGTTTCTTTAACTTAAACATTCACCTAACCTACGACTCAGACTTTGCATTCTGACTTATTGGTCAAAGATAAATGAAACATATCCATTAAGGAATTATACACAAATGTTTGTACCAGCTTTATTTTCATTAATAAAAAATTACAGATACCTTAAATGTCCATAAACAAATAAATGGATAAACTAATAGTGGTATATTCAAAGATAGTTCTCAGCCCCCACCCTGGAAAAAAAGGATGAGCTACTCACATATCATTGATGAATCTCCAAGTATTTATGCAACATAAAAGAAAAAAAAGCAAACGCTTTGATTTGCATCATATAAATTATAGAAAATGTAAATTTAGCTATTATAATGGAAAGTAAATCAAGGGTTACTTGGAGAGCTGTGAAAGGCAGGGAAAGAGAGATTATAAAAGAAGATGAGGTAAGGGCCAGCCCAGTGGCACAGTGGTTAAGTTTGCACGCTCCGCTTCTGGTAGCCCGGGGTTCACAGGTTCAGATCCTGGCATGGACTGACGCACTGCTTGTCAAGCCATGCTGTGGCGGCGTCCCATATAAAGTAGAGGAAGATGGGCACGGATGTTAGCCCAGGGCCAATCTTCCTCAACAAAAAGAGGATTGGCAATGGATGTTAGCTCAGGGCTAATCCTCACCAAAAAAATATGAAATAAAAAAAAATAACATGATGAGGTAAATATACCACGACAGATATTGTCAGTATCATGACTATGGTGGTGGTTTCACTTTCATACCTGTCAAAACTTATCATATACTACACTTTAAATATGTACAGTTTATTACATGTAAATTATACCTTAATAAAGTTCTTAAAAATGGATCAAGATAAAAAATCTACATGTCCCAACTCTTTTTGTAAAATAGGTTTCACAACCCTTTATTCACTGAACCTTCTCATTCCCTCTCGGGGTCAGCCTTCCCTCAGTGACAGCAAACACAGTGATCAACGGACTTTCCACCCAAGTCAACAGGAATGCTGCCTGAATCACAAGAGATTACATTTGTGGACTATGGATCCCCATTTTCTCTATCTTTGTTTTCCTGCCTATGCAGAAAAAGGCCTTGAAGTGAACATCACTGATAGGCTACAGAAATCCACAAAATCTTTTGATTATTTTCAATGACGATGACTTCAGCTACACAAGATAGACATGCCTGGAGGTCCTAACATTTGTGTACAAACCGATCCTGTACAGTCAGTCACAGCAACATTTCTGGACGCACTTTTAAAAGAGGCACATTCCACCTAGTTGGCTGCAGTCTCCTCCACTCCCTATTATGCCAGTGTTTCTCTACCAATTCTCGTTTCCCCTGGACCCAGGGGTCTTAACAACCAGTGACCATCACCCACTGAACAGTGGACATGAGGGTACATGCTTCTTTCCATGACCTGGGGGAGAGATTCCTCTCAACAGTGCTGACATCCCCTGTGATATTGCCTGCAAGGGCGATAAAGGGAAAAAAATCCACGCTATTCCCAGAAGCACTTGAGGTTGTCACACCTGCTGCCTCCTCAAGGTGATCTCTGAGTCTCCTAAAACTCATGGAATCCAGGCTTCAAATGAAAACCTGCAAGTTCTGCAGTCTTTCCTAGGAGGCTGTGGGCAGCAATGCCTATTTGGCAAAAACTGGTGAGCTAATTTCTGCCACCCTGAGGCACAGAAAATTTGAGACTCCCATAAAAGTTGTTCATCCCTTCAAGCTTGTGAGCCCAAATCTGTTTATAAACTACCCCCCACAGTAAATAGAACATCAAAGATTAAAGAGGACTTAAACAGTAAGGCCTTCATTATTGTACAAGCCAAAGTGATGTGGGCCTAGTAATTCTCGAGCTGGTGACTTGGAAGCTGGAAAAATTTGTCACAATTATCTTGGGAGACCATATTGCTGAAAACGGCAGTCCTTCTTTGCAAGCTGCCATCTGAACTCATATGATGTTCTCTAGGCTAACATTGGGCTAGGCCCATGCCCAAATTACTCAGGGAGATGGAAATGTGGACCCTCTAAGAACTTGTTACTCCTAATTTCCTCCAACAGATGAAGGAACAGAGGTCAGCTTCCCTGAGCACACTGAGGTAGTGACTGATACACACTGTGGGGACCTACAAGGTGGTAGAGGTAAACTCCCTTTCGCCATGGAAACTAGCAGTAACATTAATCTGGCAAGAGCCCTGGGCAAGTTAGAAAGTGCAACAAGCCACACAGGCTTCCCATATAATGAAACTTACAGGGAATCTCCCTGCTATTGGTGTTTGAATATATGACATTCAATTCAGACAAACGGCACCTCACAGTTTCCTCCACTGTCATTACACCAAACAAGAAAATTGTACATCTCCTACACATCTAAGGCTATTCTCCAGTGTGAACTCTCCGATGCTGAGAGAGATTAGATTTTCGGCTAAAAGATTTCCCACATTCACTGCAGTCATAAGGTCTTTCTCCTGTATGAACTCTCTGATGATAATGGAGCGTGGAACGAGAAGTAAAAGATTTCCCACATTCACTGCACTCATAAGGCCTTTCTCCTGTGTGAACTCTCCTGTGAATAATGAGGTGAATTCTTTGGGTAAAGGATTTCCCACATTCACTACACCCATGGGGCCTTTCTCCTGTGTGAATTCTACGATGTCGAATAAGAATTGAGCTATTGGTAAAAGATTTCCCACATTCACTGCACTTATAAGGCCTTTCTCCAGTGTGAACTCTCTGATGATAACCAAGGGCAGAGATGGAAGTGAAAGATTTCCCACATATGCTACACTCATAAGGCCTTTCTCCAGTGTGAACTCTCCGGTGTTTAGAGAGGTACGAATTCTGGCTAAAGGATCTCCCACAATCACTACATTCATAAGGCTTTTCTGCAGTGTGAACTCTCTGGTGTTGATTCAACTGAGAACTATCCCTAAAAGATTTCCCACATTCACTACAGTCAAAAGGCTTTTCTCCTGTGTGAACTCTCTGATGACAACGGAGGGCAGAGCTAGAGGGAAAAGACTTCTCACATTCACTGCATTCGTAAGGCCTATCTCCAATGTGAACTTTCTGATGATAACGAAGACCAGAGCCGGAGGCAAAAGATTTCCCACAATCACTACATTCATAAGGCCTTTCCCCTGTGTGAACTCTCTGGTGTATATTGAGATGATTTCTTTGGGTAAAGGATTTCCCACATTCACTGCACTCATAAGGCCTTTCTCCAGTGTGAACTCTACGGTGTCGAATCAGTATCGGTCTATTAGTAAAAGATTTCCCACATTCACTGCACTCATAAGGTTTTTCTCCAGTGTGAACTCTCTGATGGTAACAGAGTGCAGAGCCAGAGGTAAAAGACTTTCCACATTCACAACATTCATAAGGCCTCTCTCCAGTGTGAACTCTCTGGTGTTGAGAGAGGTAAGATTTGTGGCTAAAGGATTTCCCACATTCACTGCATTCATAAGGCCTTTCTCCTGTGTGAACTCTTTGGTGTATAATGAGATGATTTATTTGGGTAAAAGATTTCCCACAATCACCACATTCATATGGTCTTTCACCTGTGTGAATTCTCTGATGATAACGAAGGCCAGAGCTAGAAGTAAAAGATTTCCCACATTCACTACATTTATAAGGCTTTTCTCCAGTGTGAACTCTCTGATGATAACGAAAGGCAGAGGTAGAAGTAAAAGATTTTCCACATTCACTACATTCATAAGGCCTTTCTCCTTTGTGAACCCTCCAGTGTTCAACAAGGTCAGATTTTTTTCTAAAGGACTTCCCACATTCAGTGCACTCATAACTCATTTCTCCAGTGTGAACCGTCTGTTGTTGAATAAGGATGGAGCTATGGCTACAAGATTGTGCACATTCACTGCACACATAATTTTCCTCACTGTGACTTCTCTGAGGATAAATGAGAACAAATTTTTGGCTAAAGGATTTCCGACACTTGCTGCACTTGTACTGCCTTGCCCCAGTATGAATTCTTCGATGCTGACTGAGGGTTGAGGTTTGCCTAAAAGATTTGCCACATTCCCCACACAACTGAAGACTTTTTCCGCTGTGGACTCCCTGGTGAACAACAGATGAAGATTTATACCTGAATGCTTTCCCACATTCAGGGCACACAAAACATTGGCTTTCAGTATGGACACCCTGGTCCTGAACAAGTGTGTGTTTTGGGCTGAAGGCTTTCTTGCATTCTCCGCAGGTGTAATGACTTTTTCTGCTTTTGAAAGTCACCCCACACTTGGAGATTTTGCTTGGCTTCTCCCTGGTGTGAGTGGCTCGTTGCTGGAGATGTCCTGACAAGGCCAGGGAGTCCTTCTCAACTTCCCCCCACATAAAGGGCTTCTCTGACACATGGAATCTGCAGCTCTTCACAAAGGAGGCCCTGTCCACACTGCTTCTGAAGGATTTCTCTCCCATGTGCTGCTCCTGGTGCTGTTGAAAGTCTGCACTGAAATAAAATCGTTTCACGCATGGCCCACACCTGAACGATTTCAGGCTGTATTGTATTCCCTGCTGCTCAGCCAAGTGGAAAATGTCTCTCAAGACTGGACCAGAGGGGTGGGTCTTTTGTGAAGATGGAGCTGCCTTGGGAGTCTTGGCCTGTGTGACTCCTACAGAAATGCTCTGTTCAAAAGATGCTCCCACATCCTCTGCTCCACTCCAGCAACCTGAATGCAAAGAAACCCTGGTGAAGTATATGTTAACATTATTGGAAGGAGGCAACACAACTACAAACATGCAAGTAAATCCCAAAAAAGAGCAGAGGTAACTATACTTATGTCAGACAAAATAAACTTTAAGTAAAAAAATTGTTACAAGAGCCGAAGAAGGTCATTGTACAATGATAAAGCAGTCAATTCATCAAGAGGATATAACGAATATAAGTATATATGCACCCAATATTGGAGCACCTGAATATATTAAGCAAATACTAACAGATCTGAAGGCAGAAACATTCAGCAATGCAAGAGTAGTAGGCTTCATACAGAAGTAGACTTCAAACAGAAGTAGACTTCAATACCTTACTTTCAACAATGGACAGATCACCCAGACAGAAAATCAATAAGAGAATGTCAATCTTGAACTGCACTTAAGACCAAAGGGACCTAAACAGACATACAGAAGGTGCCATCCAATTGCAGCAGAATACATATTCTTCTCAAGTGCACATAGAACATTTTTCAGGATAGATCATCTATGTTAGGTCACAAAACAAGTCTTAACAAATTTAAGAAGACGGAAATCAAATCAAGTATCTTTTCCAACCACAATGGTATGAAACTAGAAATCATTAACAGGAGGAAAGCTGAAAAATTCACAAATATGTGGAATTTAAACACCACACTTCTGAACAATGAGTCAAAGAAGAAATAAAAAATATATTCAGACAAATGAAAATGGAAACAACATACCAAAACTAATGGGAAGAGCAAAGGCGGTTATAAAAGGGAATTTTATAGTGATAAATGCCCAGATGAAGAAAACAGAAAGATCTCAAACAATCTAACTTTATAACTCTAGGCACAAGAAACAGAACAAACTAAGGTCAAAGTTAGTGGAAGGAAGCAAATAAAGATCAGAGCAGGAATAAATGAAATGGAGACTAGAAAAACAATAGAAAAGATCAATGAAACTAACAGTTGGTTTCTTGAAAAGATAAACAAATTGACAAACCTTTAGCTAGACTAAGAAAAAAAGAGAAGACAAAAAAAATCAGAAATGAAAGAGGAGATATCACAACTGATAGTGCAGGAATACAGTCAATCAGAAGAGACTACTATGAACAATTAGATGACAACAAGTTGGATAACCTAGAAGAAATGGATAAATTCCTAGAAAACATACAACTTACCAAAACTAAATCATAAAGAAATAGAAAATCTGAATAGACCTGTAACTGGTAAGGAGATTGAATCAATAATCTCCCAAAAAAGAAAAGCTCAGGACCAGTCAGAAGCACTGGGGATTCTAGCAAATATTTCAAGAATTATTTATCCTTCTCAAAGTCTTCCAGGGGCTGGCCTGGTGGCACAGCGGTTAAGTGAGCGTGCTCCACTGCAGCGGCCTGGGGTTCGTAGGTTTGGTCCCAGGCATGCACCGACGCATGGCCTGTCAAGCCATGCTGTGGCGATGTCCCATACAAAGTAGAGGAAGATGGGCACGGATATTAGCCCAGGGCCAATCTTCCTCAGCAAAAAGAGGAGGATTGGCATTGGATGTTAGCTCAGGGCTGATCTTCCTCACACACACACACACACACACAAAGTCTTCCAAAAATTGAAGAGGGAATACTTCCAAACTCATTTCATGAGGCCAGCATTACTCTGATATCAAAGCCATTTAAGGACAATACAAGAGAAGAAAATTACAGGCCAATATCCATGACAAACATAGATGCAAAGATCTTCAATAAAATACTTGCAAACCAAATCCAAGAGCACATTAAAAGGATCACACACCATGATCAAGTAGGATTTATGCCTGGAATGCAAGGATGGTTCAACATTTGCAAATCAATAAATGTGATACACCACATTAATGGAATGATGGGAAAAACCATACAATCATATCAAAAGATGCAGAAAAAGTGTTCGACAAATTCAATATCTTTTCATGATAAAAACCCTCAACAAATTAGATATACAAGGAATGTACCTCAACATATCTGATGGGCTCACAGCTAAAATCACACTCAACGATCAAAAGCTAAAAGCTTTTCCTCTAACATCAGGACAAGACAAGGAAGCCCACTCTCTCCACTTTATTTAACATATAGTACTAGAAGTCCTAGCCAGAGTAATTAGGGAAGAAAAAGAAATAAAAGGCATCCACATCAGAAAGGAAGAAGTAAAACCGTTCGTTTGCAGATGACATAATCTTACATACAGAAAACTCTAAAACTCCACCAAAACACTGTTAGAGCTAATAAATAAGGTCAGTAAAGTTGCAAGATAAAAAAATCAATATACAAACCTCAGGTGCATTTATATATGCTAATGAAAAACTATCTGAAAAAAATTAAGAAAATTTCACCTAAAATGGCATCAAAAAGAATAAAATACTCAGGAATAAATTTAACCTTGGAGACGAAAGATCTATATTCTGAAAATTACAAGACATTGAAGAAAGAAATTGAAGAAGACACAAACAAATGGAAATGTATCCTGTGTTCTTGGAATGGGAGAATTAATATTGTTAAAATGTCCATTTTACCCAGAGCGATCTATAGATTCAATCCAACCCGTATCAAAATTCCAATGACATTTTTCACAGAAAGAGAAAAAACAATCCTGAAATTCATATGGAACCACAAAAAAATCCAAATAGCGAAAGCAATCTTGAGAAAGAACAAAGCTGGACGCATCACACTTCCTGATTTCAAAATATTATAAAGCCACAGTAATCAAAACAGTATGGCATTCGCATAAAAACAGACAGACCAATGGAAGAGAATAGAGAACCCAGAAATAAACCCATGCATATATGGTCAAGTAATCTTTGATAAGGGCACTAAGAACATACAATGGGGAAAAGATAGTCTCTTCAATAAATGGTGATAGGAAAGCTGGCTATCCACACTAAAAAAAAAAAAAAATGCAACTGAACTCCTGTCTTACACCGTTCCCAAAAATTAACTTGAATTGGATTAAAAACGTAAATATAAGACCTGAACTTATGAAACTTTTAGAAGAAAATATAGGGAAAAAGCTCTTTGACATTGGTGCTGGCAATGATTTTTTGGATGTGACACTAACAGCACAAGCAATGAAAGCAAAAATAAACAAGTGGGACTATATCAAACCAAAAAGCTTCTGCACAGCAAAGGAAACAAAAGGCTACCTAAGGAATAGGAAAAAATATCTGTAAAAGATATATCTGATAAGGGGTTAATATCCAGAATATATAAAGAATTCATACAACTCAACAACAAAAAACCAAATAATCCAATTAAAAATGGGCAAACATTTATCCAAAGACATACAAATAGTCAAAAGGTACATGAAAAGGTACTCAACATCACTATTATCAGGGAAATGCAAATCAAAACCACAATGCGATACCACCTCTCACCTGTTAGGATGGCTATTATCAAAAAGACAAGAGATAACAAGTGTTGGCAAGGATGCAACACTTGTACACTTGTTGTATGCTGTTGGTAGGAATGTAAATTGGTACAGCCAGTATGGAAAACAGTATGGAAGTTCCTCAAAAAATTAAAAATAGAACTACCATATGGTCCAACAATCCAATTCTGTGTATATATCCAAAGGAAACGAAATCAGTATCTCAAGGAGATATTTGCACTTTCATGCTTATTGCAGCATTATTCACAATAGCCAAGGTGTGGAAACAACCTAAGTGTCTGTATATGGGTGAATGCACAAATAAAGCCTGTGCATCTATGTATGTATACATAAACACACACACACAACAGAGTGTTATTCAGCCATAAAAAAGGAAATCATGCATTTGTGACAACATGGATAAACCTGGAGGGCATAATGCAAAGTGAAATAAGCCAAACAAAGAAATACTGTATGGTATCACTTATATGTGGAATTAAAAAAAAAAAAAGAGTCAAACCCACAGAAACAAAGAGTACAATGCCAGGAGCTAGGGGAAATGGGGAGCTGTTGGTCAGTTATAAGTTCTAAGGATCTAATGTACAGCATGGTAACTATAGTTAATGATGCTGCATTGTATACTTGAAATTTCCTAAGAGAGTAGATCTTAAGTGTTCTCACAGATACAAAAAAGGTAAATATGCAAGGTGACAGATGCATTAATTAACTTAATGGTAGTAATCATTTCACAATGTATATGTATATCAAATCATGACAGTGTACACTTTAAATATATACAATATTGTTTGTCAATTATACCTCAATAAAGCTGGAAAAAAGAAAAGAGATCTAAACACTACAAAAAGAACCAGGCAAGAGGGACATGAAAAGTAGCCCATGGCCCAGCTAAGTAGTGACCATGACAAGTCCTGCAATTCCTGGCACAGGCAGGTCCTAGGAAATGTCAGCTAAAGGAAGGGAGCAAACCCTGTCCCACACACAGAAGTGCCATGGAGCTGGACACGTTCACCTGGCCAGGAAGAGGGCAAGCAAGGTGCCATCCATTAGCCTCACTGCAAGACTACTGACCTGGAATCCTTCCCTGTGAGGGTTCAGTACAGAGGGTATTGGGGCTGCAGGGGAGAGAAAAGGGCAGTGCAAACGCCCCAGCCCTAGCAACACAGCAAGGACCCAGAAAGCTGCGGAGGCAAGCAGTGGCCACAGTTCACATGTGAGAAGGTCAGAGCACCCCCTGGGGAAAAGGAGTCAGGGGAAATGCAGAGCCTAATCCAGGTCACTGGGGAGGGAGAGGGCCTTACCCAGTGAGGATATGAGTGTGAAGTTCTCCAGCATCACATCGAGGTACAGGCATCTCTGAGCTTCATCAAGGAGCCTCCATTCCTCCCAGGAGAAGTACACAGCCACGTCCTCAAAGGTCACACCACTCTGCCATGAAGGGGACAGATGATACTATGAACATTCTCTGAGAACCCACAGTCCATCACCTCACACATCTACTCCACCCTCCTCCTCCTCCAGAGCTCCCCACCTCAGAGCAGATACCAGGCCCTGGTGCCACTGACACCCAATCTCTCCTCATCGTCACATTAATCACTGTGTTCAGCCCTCAGCAGTAACAGGTAGGGGGGCAGATAAACACCTTCTAAGCTCTGGGCCTGACCTGCAGGGCCCCATCCCTCCTGCCAAGCAAGTTCCCTGGGGTCTCCCAGACTGTACCTCTAAGACACATCCAAACATGGGCTCCTGCTTCACCATTCAGTCCCGAACACCAGGGCCCGGGGGCCATCAGCTCACACTTCCTCTCAATGTGCACATCATTCTGTGGACTCCACCTCCCTCACATCTTCAGATCCCACCACTGCACCCCCACAGCTCTGCCACCTCCCTGCCCCACACCAAACGCATCTCCCTGGACTCACCCATGGACTTGGAAAGTGACATCCAGAAAGTGCTGGACAAATTTCAAATACGATTTAGTACAACCCCAGTCCTCTGACGGATCTCACAAGTAGGGAAAGCCGCAAATGCTGCAGTGAAGGCCTCTCCACGTGCCTCTGATCTTTGCTTCAGAATCACATGTGAATTGCAGACCCCCATGACCCTCTTCCACTTCTGTGCTGCACTTGCTCTCCCCTCAGAAACCACAACCTTCCACTCTCCACTCAACCTTCTATATAGAAGCTCAGCCCCATTGGTCTCCATACCAGGCATAGTGACTCTGACAAATGACCACATTTGCCCCAGATCTTATCCACCAGCAAGACTGAAACACCCCAGATCCCATCGAAGCTCACCACACAATTCTGGTGAATCCACACAGTAGTGAATTAGGAGGAGACCTGCATTCAGTGTCATCTTCTCTCAATTACTCCTCTGCCTCCACAGCCATCTCAAGTCCACTCATCCCAGGGAAGCCTTGGCCACCTGCCAGATCGACCTCTCTCCCATACAGTTGCCACTTTCACATCTCTCCCTCATTTGTGTTTGAGGGCCAGCAATCCCAATCAGGTGTCAAGGGAGAGAACCACTCCTTGGCGCCCACCCTAGTCTTTATAACCCACTAATAGCACTGCCACCAAAACCTGCATTCCCCTCTGCAATGTCATCCACAGCTCCAACCTGGTCCACACAATAGCCATCACCTTGGGATGTCTCCATCCTGAACCCTTCCCTAGATTTCCAGACCTGTGTCCAGCTGCACACGTGATGCCTCCACTCACTGTTCTCTGAAACATCTCAGACTCTTAATAGCGCCAAAACAAAACTTCTGATATTCCCAAGGAGAATAAACCTACCAACAACTTCCCCATCCCAGTTGGTGGAGCTTCCATTCCTTCAGCTGCTAGGACAAAAACCCTGGGGTCATCTCTGACTCCTTTTCTCTCTCTCACATACAACTTCCAAAGATTTACTTGACACTTTGTAAAAAATATACCTAGAATCCAACCTTTTCTCCCACCTCCATGGCCACCAATCTGGTCCATCAACACTCATCTGGATTATAGCAGTTGCCTCCTCCTGGGCTCCCTGCCTCCTCCCAAACCCCATAGTCTAGTCTGCACTATGCAGCCAGATGGAGCCTGTTAAACTTGGGTAAGACCAACTCCTTCCTCTTATCCAAACCTTCCATTACATCCCTAACAGATGCCCAACTTCTCAGGCAGCCACATTACAGGCCTTTTCTTGAGCCCCTGCTCTTTGTTCTTAACAGAAAGAATGGGGGCTGGCTGTGCCCTGTCTCCAGCTCAGTCACGTCTCCAAGTATTTCCACATGCTGGTATTTGTTCCTGGGAAAACCTTCCACATCTGTTTACACTGGTTGCCAGAAGCAGGAACACCTCCACGTAACCCTTGGCCTGCACTCAGGACTCTGGACTTGGAGTATCTTGAAGGCATCAGACTCAACAGCTGGGAAACAGCATGAAAGTTTCAAGACACCACAATCCCAGACACCACACAGGTGGTGTCAGGGACAGTGAGGAGCTGGGACACCCTCCCCTTCCCTGTGTAGAAAAATGCTTTTTCTATCATCAGAACCTCTGGGAAGAAGCAGGCAACCATGTGATGGGGTTCAGGGCAGGCCGCCCCAAGATGTGCCACTCTGGTATGCAGATTATTTCCAGCTGAAGACAGTAAAGGCTCAGAAGACTCTGAAAGAAACTTTGACACACACACACACACACACACACACACACACCACTAACTGCCTAAAAGGATTTAAGATAGAAGGCCTGTCCCCAGGACAGGCCATCACCATAGATAACTCTGGGTATGGACAGACTGGGAGGGTACTTGCTAAGCCCACTTTTATCAAAGTTCTGTTTACCAAACACTTACATTTGTAAGGGAAATCTCCATTTGGAAAGGCATCTCCCTCTCTGTACTGGGAAGAAGGGGAGATGACCTCATCTCTAGAAACTTATCAGTGCTGAAGGCCAGGCCTTAAATCTGCATATTAACCTTACTCTTGTTTACTATGTTTCTGGTAATCTCCAAGAGCTGACTCCCTCCAACCCCAACGTCCTCCTTTGTCTTTAGCTGAAGATAGTATTTAGGATGAGAACCTCCACCATTTTGTTGAGTTACCCAGTTTTTCCGAGTCTCTCCCATGTATACACGTTATAAAGCTTTGTTTGATTTTCTCCTGTTCTTCTGTCTCATTTCAATTTAATTTGTACCCCAGCCAAAAAGGACTGAGAGTGGGTAGAGGATAAGTCTTCTTCCCCTTCACATGGCTGGGTTGCATGTGCCCAGCCCTGGAACTTGGTCATCTCGGGTTCACTTACCAACCTCTGTGCCTCAGTCCTCACAGCTGCCTCTTACCAGCTCTGTGACCTTGGACGAGGACTCAACCCCCTGTGCCTCACTGTCTTCATCACCCCCATTCCAGTCTGTTCTCTCGCTGAGCTACTTTTGGAAAATTCTTTAAACCCTAACACACACCGCGTCCCTCTCTGTTCACAACCCTCCACGGCTCCCAGGGCCCTCGGATTGAAGGAACCGCCCCTCAGCCCCCAGCCCAGGCGACACTCCTCCTCACCCTCTTTTCACTGCAGACAGAACACGGACCCCAGGTCCCCGACTCCTCCCGGCTCAGTCGCCCTCCACGCCTCTCCCCCGCGGACCCTCCCCTGGGACCCTCTCCCACACCCGTCACCCCGGCTCTCAGAAACAGGCCCCACGAGCGCCTCCCCGTCCCGGACACCGGGGCCTGGGCTGCAGGCCCGTGAGCGGCGCCCGCACTCGGGGCTCTAGGGCTGGGCTGGGCGGGCGCGGAGCACGAGCACTGACCTGAGCCGGCTCCCTCCGTGCGGCCGCCGCCATCGGACTCCGGGGGCAGAGCGGGGCCGGGAGCGGCGGGAGAGGAGTGGACCCGGGCACTGCGGTCCCTGTCCCGGCCCTGGCGCAGGTCCCCCGGACGGCGTCGCCGAGACTCAGACCCGCCCTGTGCAGCAGGCAGAGCGCCTCCTCTCCCGCCTTCTCGGTCCCGTCACCTCAGCTCGACCCAGCGCTCCTCAGCCTCCAACCCGGAGAAAGGACCCAAGAGCGGATAAAGTGACCGCCTTGAGGGGGAGGCCGGAAGTCCCGCCCCGACGCGATGCGCACGCACGGAAACCCTTTTCCTGATCCGTCATTGGCTCGTGACTGCAGCGCCTCAGCGCAGAATCTTCTGGGTAATGTAGTTTCCACAGCTCTAGACCCCGGAAGCAGCGTTCACGTTGTTCAACCAGAGCATTGGTAGCGGGGTCCCTTGAGAAATGCTGGAAGGTATTGCTCCTACCTTAAAGGAGGGAGGGGCTTTGCTCCTTTTTAAAGGCGGCGAAGAGGTGTAATTTCAGACTCTGTGAAGTTCAGTCTGTTCCCACAGGATAAAAGTAGTGTTTGAGATGATCCCAAATCCTCTGATCTTAATGGCCATGTCATTCCATAGAATCAGTCAGACATAAAATGAGTCCACACATAGCTGGAAACGTTATGTTATTGCTCTTCAAATGCATATATACTGAAGCGTTATCCAGTTTTGTGAGTTAGGGTATGTTTGGTCAGGAAGAAGGGAAAAAACTCTATGGGGGGCCATGAGGGGAAGGGAAAAGAGGGATGTTAGGCCCCTTGAGGCAGATGCACAAGCTGGAGCTCTGCTTCTGGTTCCCGCAGAAAACTTCTCCCTTGCCTGTATCATCAGTGATTTTGCGAAGTGGAAGCAAAAGTCAACAGAATCAACAGAAGTGGAAGCAAAATAGGAAACTCCATACTAAGTCCCCTAAATTTTATAGAAGCTAACTTCTCAGTTTTGTAGCCTTTTTGGAATTGTAAAAAGTGTGTCTCCTAACTTTAGTTTTTGGATGTCGAGCTTATTTATTTATCTCTTTGGTGAGGAGAACAAATCAAATGTGTGTTACTCTGCTAGGATTGCCATAACAAAATATTATCGACTGGGTGGCTTCAATAACAGAAATTTACTTTCTCACAGTTCTGGATGCTGGAAGTCTGAGGTGAAGGTGTCAACAGGTTTGGTTTCTCCTGAGGCCTCTCTCCTTGGCTTGCATATGGCCTTTTCTCCCTGTGGGCTCACTCCTGGTGTCTATTCCTCTCCTCCTAAGGAAACCAGTCCTAATGGAGTAGGGCCTTACCTTTATCACCTCATTTAACCTTAATTACCTCTATAAATGCCCTATCTCCAAATATAGTCACTTGGGGGTTAGGGCTTCAACATATAAGTACTATGTTAATAAAGGTTAGTGGTAATGAAAGGCAAATGAGTTACTAAAGTTGGGTAATAAAGAGGAAAAGAGCATTTAACTATTTGAAAGTATCTTCCAGGTGCCAATGGCTCATAATAATTTCTAAAAGTGACTTTTATAAAAACATAATTTCTAAAAACTACCCACTAAATACTGTAAGTGCATTACTTCTAAGAACTATTTAAAACAAACAGAAGCTTTCAATTAAAACAAATATTAAAAAAGGCTAAAATGTATAGTTTAATAAAATAAATTTATTTGAATTGAATACTACACTTTTCTCATCAACAATACTGATTATTTGTCCCACCTGATTAATGCCTCACAAATCCATCAACTCCCCTACGAAAAGGTCTGATCATTCCGATAGTTAAGGTGTCCTCGGATACCTGGCAGCAAAAGCCATCACTACTTTCTCTGCTTCTTTTCTCACCACTCTCCCCGTCACACACTGTACTACAAACACATTGATCTTCCTTCAGTTCTTTACATTGCATGTGTGCCTTTCCAACTCAGAGTATTCCCAGGTCTTTTTCTGTGCAATTGAAACATCTTTTTTTCCCCCACTATGCTTTGTAAATTCAAATGAATCTTTTAAATGTCAGCATAAATTTCTAATCAGAAGTAGTTTCATACCCTAAACTCCTAAATCCTGAACATTCCCTATATTATCATAAAATTCCCTGAACCTCTAATGAATAACATTATACAATTTTAGAATAATTATGAGTAGCATTCATGTTTTTATACACTATAAGCAATATGAAGCACAGTTATTATCATTGTTATTAAATTTTGAATCAAAATATCCAGGAAAATTAAACAACACAAAATGTAAGCCTACAAATACATAAAGTTGATTAAATAAGCGGTGAGATGTTCTAGAGAGAACTTATAGTCCAGAGACTACAGTTGGAAACTTTACTTTCCTTACCTAGCAGGCAAAGCAGAACTGAGAGGCATGGAAGTCACTGCCAAGGAGCACGAAGGGATGAATGCTGGGGAGCCTGAAGACACCAGTACAAAGGTGTTTGTCAGACTGTGGTGTGGGTTCATAATCACGGTTATCCAAAAAGATGAAACAGAAGAGAAAGAGAGAGTAAAAGGAGACAAACATATTCACCAGGATGAGAACAGTGAAGGTGGCTTTTGTTTCACTAGGATAAGAATGCTGCTTTGGTCTCATGGGAAAGTCTAGGGGAAAGGCTATTGTGAATGTGGTGGATTCTCTACTTGTGCCTGTGCAGGACAAGGACATGGAGCCACCTCACTGACCATGAGGCCAGAACACATGATGTCAATGAAGAATAACATGAATGCATGTAGTGAGACAATACATCTTTCTGGAATGTCTGAAAAACAGTATCCATGAATCTTTCTCAGTAGTTTTTTTTCCTCTTTCTTAGTCCAGTTCATTCATAGCAATAAAGGTATTAGGAGGAGTTGCAGTATCCAGCATAGGAAACAGCAGAATCCAACGCACTTTGGGGACATCATTCAGAGCTCTATCAGCCTCCTCAAAATACTGGGGCAAAACTCAATGGCCTGGAAGCCACTTGAGAGCAGGTAGTGTTGACATAAATCCTTCTGGCCATTCTGTGAAAATAAAGGACAAGTTTATATCCAACATCATCTAGAAAACATTTCCTTCCAAAGCTGCCATTGTCTTAAGGAACTCTTTAGAGAGAAGCCCTAAGGAGTTGGCAAAGACAAGCTGTTTTATCAAATCTCTTGACAGATAATCTTCTTATCATTGCTATTCAGTCTCTTTGAATCTCTTAAAAGTAACTTTATAAATGTTGGACACCTTGAAACAATTATGCTTCACCCTTCCATCCAGGACATTTCCTGCTTCTACCATTTCTCATTCACACTCTTTACAACTCAATGTTTAAGAGCATTTTTTCTCTCTCTTTTTCGGTTATTTCAACTCCTGTGCAATTCTTCATTCATTCTATTTGTAGTTTTATCTTCACAAATCCAATGTCATGAGCAAACTTCTACACATAACAGTGACGTCTAAGATTTTGGTTAAAATTCCTCTCAGCAGCTCTTGACACCATTGATGATTTTTGTATTCTTAACTTAAATTTGCTGATTCTTCATTTTCTCCCATCCACTTAGTAATGGAATTCCTGAGGGCTTAATCATTAGTCATCTCTCTTTTCACAATCTATACACATTTTATTGGTGATCTCACCCAATGTCATGACATAAATACCACTATAAGCCAAAAAATTCCAAATTCACATCTTTGCATATGTCAAAGGGGGCATTTTACCCCCTAGGTAAAGGTTTGGGACAACACGAGATCATCTCTTGCTGGGAAGGGGTTACTATTTCACATGTAAATGCAGTGGCACTGTGTGCATTGGGCCTTGAGATGATCTCAGAGAGACATTTCTAAAATAAGCATATCATTGAGAACTATTAGTAGTGATTACGTAATTTATTGAGAGGGAGAGAGAGGAGGAAGAGAGAGAGAAACAGCCAGGCCATGATCTATCTGAAATGCCTGGAAAAGACCAGGTAAAAATGACAGGCAAGGCAAGGTCTACGAAGTGAGAGAAGACAGCTAAGACAAAGGATGGTCTTAATGGGCTGTGCTTCTGGCCAACGCAAGTGTTTTACCTACAAAATGCTATTATTTTTCATTTTTGATATCTGTGCACCATTGCAGCCTGGAAGAAGAAGAAAAGAAAGAAATAGAAAAGACTTACAGATTTCATTTTTTATTTTTTTTTATAATTTTATTTATTTATTTTTCCCCCAAAGCCCCAGTAGATAATTGTATGTCATAGCTGCACATCCTTCTAGTTCCTGTACGTGGGACGCAGCCTCAGCATGGCCGGAGAAGCGGTGCGTCAGTGAGCGCCCGGGATCCGAACCCCGGCCGCCAGCAGCAGAGCGTGCGCACTTAACCACTAAGCCACGGGGCCGGCCAAGACTTACAGGTTTTAAAAATGTGGACAAAGTGGGTATACTGCTATTCGCTGCTGCAATAGACACCTATTAAGCATCTAATGTGTGTCAAGTATTACTCTTGTGTGTGAGAAGCATCAGGAAGAAAAATATCTGACAAAGAACCTGTCTCTATTAAGCCAATATCATCATCCAGAAAGAAAAACATCAGACAAAACAAATAAATAAAATATGCAATGTACTTTAAGATGATAAAGGCACAGACAAGGACAGAGGGAATTCTGCCTCAACAGTCTTCAGACAGACACAGACAGACAGACACACACACACATCCAGTTTGTTCTGTTTCTCTGAAGAACCCTGACTGATACAGATGTTGGTACCTGGAGAAGAGGTGCTACTATAACAAATAGCTACAAAGGTTCGAGTGGCTTTGGAACTGGGTAACAGGTAGAGCTGGAAGCATTTTGAGGTGCGTGTTAGAAAAAGCCTTGACTGCCCTGAAGAGACTGCTGGTAGAAATGTGGAAGTTAAAGGTGATTCTGCTGAGGGCTCAGAAAGAAAAGAGGAGAGTAGTAGAGAAAGCTTCTATCATCTTAGAGAGATACACACATCATTATAAACAGAATAGTGGTAGAAACATGAATATTAAAGCTGCTT